ACAACGCCCTCCTCCGGGAGCACGCCGCTCGCCCAGGCCACTGCCCACCTCTGGGCTGTCTGTCACCTTGCTCGCCCCCGCATCGGGGCCGTTATCAGCCTGTGCTCCCTTCCTCCCCCCGCTCTAGACTGCCATCGTCTTTGTTTTCGCCGCTTAGAAACATCTTCCCATCCCGCACGCGCCCATCCCGCCTCCTCCGGGCCCGTCAGGGTTCCCCGTCTGCTCCCCATCATCCCTCTCCAGTGCCGCCTGCTCCTTCGCCAGCCCCCTTCGTTCGCTCCTGCGCCCTTCAGTTTGTCACCCCCATACTCCCCACCCCCCACCCGTTTCCAGTACCCCGTGCACACGTGTGAATAACCATTGCGTTCTTGATCACTCCCTGTAAGATCCAGTTCATCTTTTGGGCAGTTGTCTGTCTTGCCACCAAATATCATCATCCACCGATTGGTTTTCCTTCCCGATCTCTTGCCGGTGGGCACAGGTTATGACATAGGTTGTCCATTTTGTTGCTTCTCAGTATCTTCTGTGGATGTGTATACAGTATTTTCTATCATCATCCCCTCTCATTCCTCCCCCTTTCCACGTAACCTCTCCTCTGGCTTTTCCCTTCAGGGTTAACGCAGCGTTTTCTCCGCAGGGCTCACCAGCTGCCTTGCTATTCCGTGACCGTGGGTCTGAGGAAGCTGTGGGAAGTTAGGAAGTCGGTAGTGGAAAGAGGAAGGTGTAACTCAATGGGTTACGTGAGCCCTGGCACTTTAACAGCTGTATCATTTCTGGACCAAGCGCTTAACCTCTCCAAGCCTCAGTTTTCTCATCTGTAAAACAGAAAAGAAAAAAAGTTACTGATAATAAAACCTGCTGTGGTTCTGTACCCCACAGAAGCTTTTGGAGGGTAGTCTGAAATTGTATAATGTGAAAGAATTTAGGCAACAGTAAAGCAGTATATAAATTATGTGACACTGTTTTTGTTTCTCCATCATCATCATGATTTTCCTTTTGGCATTTATAGTTATCTTGGCTGAAAAGCTATCTCTCCCTATGCCCATTATTTTGCCTTTGCAGCAGAGGTTCATTCCGCTTGAATCAATATCTGTGCTTGCTGACCTGTGCACTAAATAAACACTGAGAGTTGTGCCCTTTTGGCAAAGAGACAGTCGTAATTTCAGTCTCTCTATCAGACCCCAATTGAGCATGACTAGCAGCCTGCACACTGTGTGTGCGACTCGCCTGAGACGTCCCCCTCCTGGGGAAGCCCTCCTGGATCCTTCCATCCTGGCTCAGGCCGTGTCTGCGCTTCCATGGCACCTGTGCATGTCTCTGTCACAGTGTAATGGATGGCTTGGTCTCCTGTATCTCCAGACTAGACTATGAGCACTTGGCCTTTTTTCACTTTACATTCCCAGGGCCTAGCACAGTGTTTGGCACATAGTGGGCGCTCTGTAAATGTTGACTGTAAGAAGAGAGTAGTAGATTACACTTAATTACACACATTAGCATTGATTTTAAGGGTTAAATAAGGAAAATCGCTTAAGTCTTCCAACTTTAGGTGTTACAGTTTCCTAAAGGATGCGCTACACGTTGAAGTGCGGTTCTATTCCTTTTCTTCAAGTCTTTTAAAAGACCCAGCTTCTCTCACTCCTCAGCATTCTCTGTCTTCGTTTCCTAGTTTATCCACAGCCTTTATCCTTATGTCAGTTAACTGCACTGAGCCATCAAAGCAAATTTTTTTTAAAGCAATTTCTTAATTTTCCTCTGTTAGTATAGTGAGTGAGTGGAGCAGAACTAAGTTTGAATTGTGATTCTTATTTATTTGCTGGGTTACCTTTGGCAAGTCACTTAACTCTTTTGAGCTTTAGTTTCCTCCTCAATAATAATAATAATAATAATAATAATAAAAAGGTAGTAAGAATGACCCTGCGAGATCTTCTCACTTAATTTTTACAAGGGTGGGCATGATGACTGACACATAATAAATGCTTGATAAGTATTATTTTTCTGTCTTGTTGCATAATCTTTTTCAGTTGTGTACCAGAATCCACTTTACACAATGAGCATGATTTATTTACTAGGCTACCATTAAAGGAAAAACTGTTTTTGTTTGTTTGTTTGTTTCATTTTTAGGAAGCAGGAGAAATCCTTTCTTTTAGTGATTAATAATATCAGAGGGAAGAAATGACTTTGATTTACCTAGTGTAAGCTGTTGCTTTCCAGACTCTCACTGACCAGACTAATGGAAGGAAAATTTAGTTTGATGAGAAACTTTATAATTGATTAGAAAATGGTTTCTCAAGCTATAAATTCATTACTACCCTTCTCCCCAGCTAAATTAATATTAAATACTATAGTCTGTTTTAGTGTAATGGAAAGAATGCTGGACTTTGAACTTAGACATTATTAGTTACTGCGTTATTGTCCTTCCCTTCACTTAGAGAGCAAGAGACACACAGAGAGAGAGAGAGAGAGAGAGAGATGGTAGGGTTTTCATGCCTATTTCATATGACTACTGTAAGGATTTATTAAAAGTTAAATGAAAATTTGTGAGGTCAGTTTAGAATATTGTCAGAAAACCAGCAAAACCAAGAACTCTTCAGGCTAGGTCTTGGGAGTGGGAGAGGAACTAAGGCTGAAGGCTGAAGGCTGAGGGAAACTGCTGCCATGAATATCCATTCACTTATTCAGAATTTGTTAAGTGGTGCTCACTAGGCAGACCCGATAAATAAGACAAGCAAACTGTCCAAAGAAACACATCTAATAGGCTGGTTCCTAATATTTTCAATAGTCATTTCACTATATCTAACTCTTTGTAGCCTGGTAGAATAAGTAACAACTAAATTAAAAGTTAATAGCTGGGGTCGCTTTAATCTGGATCAGATTCAGGTACTGAGAGTCTTTGAGAGCAGGGCATCAAGAGAGAAGGGTATGATAAGGATTTACCTTAAAAATCCTGTAAAATCTGTGAAAATTTTAATTTTCACATCCCTCCTTTCCACCTTTTGCTTATCCTGTTGTTAAACTCATTCTTGTTCAGATATACCCTTTTGTTACCTTTCTAACCTGGAAGTATTAGTCCTGAGGTCCCAAAGGGAGGAGTTATTAATAACTTTTGCTTTGCCCTCCCTTTTCCACACTCCTGGCAAAACAGAATCACAAATGCAGTTTTTTTCAAAATTGGTCATGTTTAAATGTCTTAGATTGCATTCAAATTCATTTATAATACAGATGATAAATATTCAGTGTTTTCTATTGTTTCATGAACATTTGTAATTCTAGCCCCCATGTCTTTTCTGAACTCTAGACTCATATATTCAGCTCTCTACTCTATATTGTCTCTTGAAAATCTAGACATCTCCAATTCAGCATATCCAAAACTCCTGACCATCTTCCCAGACATGCTCTACCTATATATAGTCTTCCTTGTCTCAGTTTTTTGGCAACTTCTTTGCTAAGGCTAAAAGCCTTGGAGTCATCCTTGACTTCTCTCTTGCCCTTCAATCTGTTCGAAAATCATGCTGCCATGATTTAAATACTAGTATATCCAGAATCTAGCTACTTCTGCTACTATTTCTTTTTGGTCACCATCATGACTGTTCTAGATTGCTACAATAGTCTGCTAACTGATTCCTCCTGCTTCAGCACTCATAGCCTTACACCCTTTCTACACTCCGCAGAAAAGGAATTCTTTTAAAATAAAAGGGAGATCATGTCAGACCTCTGCTTAAAACCTGTAAAGGCTCCTCTTTCACTCAGAGTAAAAGCTAAAGTTCTACAATGGCCTATAAGGTCCTGCATGACTAAGCCTTCCCTTAGCTCTCCTACCTCTCTCTTACTTTATTCTCACTACAGTGGCTGCCTTGGTTGAGGGCAAACATTCCAGGCAGGCTCCTACCTTAGCATCTTTGCTTTAACTGTTCCCTGTGCCTGGAATGCTTTGCCACCAGTTACCTGCATGGGAAGTTCTCATTTCCTTTACATTTTTGCTCACATTACACTCTGTTAATAAGGCCTACTCTGGCCCTAGCTGGTTTGGCTTAGTGGATAGAGCGTCAGCCTTCGGACTGAAGGGTCCCAGGTTCGATTCCGGTCAGAGTACATGCCTGGGTTGTGGACCCTATCCCCAGTGGGAGTGTGCAGGAGGCCTCTGATCAGTGATTCTCTCTCATCATTGATGTTTCTCTCCCTCTCTCTCTCTCCTTCCCTCTTCCTCTCTGAAATCAATAAAAATATATTTTTTTAAAAAGGCCTACTCTGACCACCCCCTTGATTATTGCAGCCTGTTTACTCTCCCACTACCCTCCCAATCCCCCTTTTCTTTCCTCTGTATTTTCTTTTTACCTTTGTACTTATCTAAGATACTAATTATTTTACTTATTATGTTAACTTTTTATTGTCTACTAGAGGCCCGATGCACGAAATTCGTGCAAAAGTAGGCCTTCACAGCTCCGACGGCCTCGTGGCCTTGCGGCCCTGCCTCCCACCCATTGGTTCCGGAAGGTCGTTTTGCCCTCTGGTCTAATTAACATATTAGCTCTTTATTACATAGGATTTTCTATTAGAATGTAAGCTTCACAAGGGCAGAAGTGTGTTTGCTATAGTATCTCAAACACCTAGAATAGTGCCTGTAAATATTGGTTGGATTCAATGAAAGGTAATATTATTGGACTCCAGAATCCTCTAATAGTCACATTGTCTCCTGTTTGTTTTGGACTGTGTGCAACAGGAGACACCTTATAGGGGGATAATGAGCTATTGTTGATTATTTAATAAGTAGAATAAATAATCCAGGATAGGAAAATAGAAACATGACAAATGATTCTGTGTAGGTTGTTACTATATTAAAAACATGGACTTGAGGCCTGAGGCTTCCCACTTTCCTATCATAGGGCATCTGACTGGAAATTAGACCAGCCTGATTGGACTGGTCGCCTCCGAATCACTTCAAAAGGGAAGATTGCTTATATCAAACTCGAGGACAAAATTTCAGGTAATCTATGCTAGTAACCCTCTAACACTGGTTCTCAACCTTACTAATGCCGCGGCCCTTTAATACAGTTCCTCATGTTGTGACCCCCAACCATAAAATTATTTTCGTTGCTACTTCATAACTGTAATTTTGCTACTGTTATGAATTGTAATGTAAATATCTGATATGCAGGATATATCTTCATTGTTACAAATTGAACATAATTAAAGCATAGTGATTAATCACAAAAACAATATGTAATTATGTATGTGTTTTCCGATGGTCTTAGGCGACCCCTGTGAAAGGGTCATTCGACCCCCAAAGGGGTCGCGACCCACAGGTTGAGAACTGCTGCTCTAACGTATTAAGGATATTGCTTTGATGTGCTTTTGTAAGTACCTTCAAGTTGGGGACTGAAATGGAAATACTTGTTAAATGGAGTTTTAGGTTTTTGCTTCCTTTGCTCAAAGAAGTCTTTTCTTACCTGCCAGGGGAACTTTTTGCTCAGGCACCAATAGAACAGCATCCTGGTATTGCTGTGGAGACAGTGACAGATTCCAGCCGCTACTTTGTAATCCGGATCCAGGATGGTACTGGTAAGGGATCTGAGATTTGGAATGGGATGATTAGGAAAATAGTTCATGCACTTCAGTGAAAATGTTTCCTGATTGCATTTATCTCACTTCAGTGTACTAATTTTTTCTCTCCCTTTTCTCTAAAGTTAACTATAATTGCTAAAGGAGAAGGATTTACATATATTTGTAATAGATAAGAACACAAGTTCAAGATGTGGTAATTAATAGGTAGATATAAATAAAGTGTATATCTAACAAAAGAATTTACACATATTGCCCATTTGTTCTTTGTGATGGGTTTTGGTGGTACTATCTTAAATCACTTATATCTGGGGCAACCATTACCTTTTCTCCATAGTCAATATCAGAGGTTGGCAAACTTTTTCTGTAAAGAGACAGATAGTAAATATTTTAGGTTTTGTGGCCCAGCTAGTCACCATTGCAGCTACTCAATTCTACTGTTATAGTGTAAAAGTAGCCATAGATTTTATGTAAACAAATTGGTGTAGCTGTGTTCCACTAAAAATTTATTTACAAAAACAAGCTATGGCAGCGTTTGGGCCAGGCGCAGTGGTTCTCAATCTTCCTAATGCCGCGACCCTTTAATACAGTTCCTCATGTTGTGGTGACCCCCAACCATAAAATAAGTTTCGTTGCTACCTCATAACTGTAATTTTGCTACTGTTATGAATCATAATCTAAATATCTGATATGCGGGATGTATTTTCAGGGGTCGTGACCCACAGGTTGAGAACCGCTGGTAGGGCCTTTATGTAGTTTATGGGCAATGTTCAGGGAAAATGATTCATATTCCCAGACTTCAGGTAGGGTAACTGTTACATTTTCTTTGGGTGGAATTTGCCATTGGGACACTCCTATTCTGAGTATTCCTATCTTTTTCCCAGGACGTAGTGCTTTCATTGGCATTGGCTTCACAGATCGGGGTGATGCCTTCGACTTTAATGTCTCTTTGCAAGATCACTTCAAGTGAGTGAAGCTCGTCCTTACTTACCAGGTTAAATGGTCTGGGGAAAGCTGCTTTTCAGTTGAATGGGTACTATCTCCTTTACTTCCTGGTTTCTTTATTTGGTAAACTAGTTTATTGTGAATAGAAATTTTCCCATTCACTCTGTTTCTTTACATTATCTTTGTATCTGTTGTATCCTTTCCTTATAGCCAGGAATATGTTTTTGATTCCTTGTACAATGGTTTGAGATGATGCTTTTGTTTATACCTCTGGGGAATTAGCCATTATTTTTGGTGGCTGAGAGAGGCATGCAGTGACAACAGGGCTGCAGGAAAGATATGTGGAGAGTTAAGTGCCAGTTTTGCTGCTTCATGTAACTGACTTGATTTGTGCTTATTGCACCCTTCTTCAGCTCACCTGACTTTGGCGTAGCTGTAGTAGAAAGCTCCCTGCACACTGCCAGCTTTCCTACTTCCAGGGCTGGCATTCCTCTGCTTTTCTGCCCCCGGGCTCTCTGACCTTGTGGAAGGTCACTCAGTTAACAGGGGCGCAACCTGGCAGAACAGAAGACTTAACACCCACTCAGGGGCAGCTCTCAAGCATGGGGGATGGGAATTGGTGGCCAACTGCTCTCCTTTGGAGGGACAAGTTTAATACATATTCTGTTTGGTTCCTCGGTGGTTTTGAGCCCCAATTATCCTCTTTCTTCGCTTTTCTTTTTTTTTCTTTTTCAACTCTTCATGTTCCTCCCTTTGCTTTCTGGAATCCTGTTTTACATAAATTAGCTTCACTCATATCTGTGTGTCAAACTCTGCTGTCAGGGAATCCAAATTAAGATGACTTACTCTTTTGCTGAAGGTGGGTAAAGCAGGAATCTGAGATTTCCAAAGAATCTCAGGAAATGGACACACGCCCCAAGCTGGATCTGGGCTTCAAGGAAGGACAGACCATCAAGTTGAGTATTGGGGTGAGTATGGCTTTTTTCTTTCCTTTCTGTATTTTCATAAGCCTATGACTTCTCCTTTTTTCTCTCGCTTTCCCTCTTTTTTCTTTCATAGAATATTACAACCAAGAAAGGAGCCACTTCTAAGCCCAAGACTGCAGGCACTGGAGGCCTAAGCTTACTCCCACCCCCACCTGGAGGCAAAGTCACTATTCCCCCACCATCCTCCTCAGTTGCCATCAGCAATCATGTCACTCCACCACCCATTCCAAAATCTAACCATGGAGGTAGTGATGCAGGTAAATCTCTCTAATACTTTAAACACACACACATTTATATATATATTTTATTGATTTTAGACAGGGAGAGAGAGATAGAAACATCAATGATGAGAGAGAATCATTGATCGGCTGCCTCCTGCACTTCCTCTATTGGGGATCCAACCCATAACCCGCGCGTGTGCCCTGACCGGGAATTGAACCGTAACCTCCTGGTTCATAGGTCAAGGCTCAACTGCTGAGCCACACCGGCTGCGCTCTCTAATACCTTTCACTTTCAGAAATCATACATTAGGTTGTAACTGGATAACACCATTTTCCAAGGAGAGTGCTGATGTTTTTTCTGTTAAATGGCACTTGGTACAGAGAAGGTAATTCAGGCAGCCTTTAGCAAGGTATCAAAGCTTTTCCAGTGAACTGAGATAATGGTATCTGGTAGGTTCTTTACAGAAAATGGTTGTATAGCCCAGCTGGTGTGGCTCAGTGCTTGAGCAGATCAATGAACCAGGAGGTCATGGTTCGATTCCAGGTCAGGTCACATGCCCGGGTTGTTATCTCGAACCCCAGTAGCCGGGAGTGCAGGAGGCAGCTGATCAATGATTCTATCTCATCATTGCTGTTTTTATTTCTCCCTTCCTCTCTGAAATCAATAAAAATATATTAAAAAAGAAACAGGGTGGGTATTAAAAAGACTATTTCCTTCATTGTGCCTCGGTTAGATGCGAGTAGGCCTGAGAGTCAGATGGACCCAGTTTTCAGTCATGGCTCTGCTACTTTATTTCTGAACGTGCTTGGTAACATTACTTAAGTTCTTTGAGTTTCAGTCTCCTTCTCTACAAAATGGAGAAGTAAACTACCCCAGGACTGTGAACATTAAATGATGGACTGCACCTAGCACAGTATTTGGAACATAGTAGCCATTCAGTAAATGTTATTTCTTAATCCTTTCCATTTCTTCAGGAGGGCAGTTGGGAGGAGATGAGACATCTAGGTTTGTGAATGCATTTTTGTTCTTCTTTACTATCTGGTGGGAAAAAAAATAGATATAGTTATTTACTTTTGAAGAATGAGAACATTAGAGCTCAGAAAGTAATTTTCCTAAGACTAGCGAACCAGATATTACAATCTGTGAGTTAAAAAAGTGTCACCAGAAGGTTAGGGATAATATCTAAGATTAAACATTTTTTTAAAAATATATTTTATTGATTTTTTACAGAGAGGAAGGGAGAGGGATAGAGAGCCAGAAACATCGATGAGAGAGAAACATCAATCAGCTGCCTCCTGTACGACCCCCACTGGGGATGTGCCCGCAACCAAGGTACATGCCCTTGACTGGAATCGAACCTGGGACCCTTGAGTCAGCAGGCCGACGCTCTATCCACTGAGCCAAACCAGTCCTGGCTAAACATTTTTTTTAAGTTAATTTTAAAAAATTATTTTTTCCCTTTATTGATTTTTAGAACGAGAAGAAGGGAGAGGGAGAGAGAAAGGGAGAAACATTGACGAGAGAGAGAGAGAGAGAGAGAGAGAGAGAGAGAGAGAAAGAGAGAGAGAGAGATATCAGTTGTCTCCTGTATGTATCTTGACCGGGAATCAAACCCATGACCTTCCTGTGTACAGGATGACACTCCAACCCACTGAACCACACCAGGGCCAGGGCTTAAATGAAACTTTATTTTGAGATTGTAGAGTCATATACAATTGTAAAAAGAATGCAAAGAAATCCCTTATACCTGTTACTCAGTTTCCTTTAATGGTAACATTTTGCAAAACTATAATAACACAACTAGAAAATTGACATTGATACCACCTACCAATCTTACTTCTGATTTCACCAGTTTTATGTGTTCTCTTTTGTGTGTATTTATTCTGTGCACTTTTATTGTGTGTAGGTTTCTGGATCCACCACCATGGTCAATTCTATCTCTCCAAGGATCCCTTCTGTCATTCTTTTATAAGCACACCTTCCTCTTAGCCTCTTCTCTCCCTCATCCTCACACTCTCCCCAGTCTCTAATCCGTGGCCATTACTAATCTGTTCTCCATCTCTGTAATTTTGTCACTTCAGGAATGTTTTATAAATGGAATCATATATAACATTTTGGGTTGGCTTTCTTCACTCAGCATAAATTCCCTTGGGATTCATCCAAATTGTTGTGAATATCAATAGTTTCTTCCTGTTTATTGCTGAGTAGTACTCCACGGTATGGATGTACCACAGTGTGTTTAACCATCACCCATGTAAAGAAATCTGGGTTGTTTTCAGCTTTTGGCTATTATAAAGCTGTTGTGTATAGATTGTGTGAACATACGCTTTCATTTCTAAGATTTATGTTATGTTTTTCTCCTTTTCTTTTTCTTTTCTTACCTTGTATTCAGATATCCTTTTAGATTTGGACTCTCCTGCTCCTGTCCCCACACCAGCACCAGCTCCAGTTTCTGCAAGCAGTGACTTGTGGGGAGACTTTAGCACTGCATCCAGGTATGAGCATAGTGAAACCAACATACTCTCAGTCAGGTATGGATGGTATGTACAGTCAGATGAAATCTTTGATCTGGGAAAATGGCATTTGTAGGTCATAGAGAGTCTTTGGCAGGAATTCTAGGTAAGGAAGTATTGGAGTGCTGGAGTGGTGGAATAAAACTGTGGAATGAAGTTTGAGTGGGATGTTTTAGGCCTTGGTAAGTAGGATTGCCTTGAAATATACTTTCAAAAATTCTGGGCAGCGATTTTCTTTGAAACTGTTAAGTAAACAGTGGAACAGCTATCCTAATATTATGCCTTTGGCTTTCTCTCTGTTTTGTCTTGCAGCTCTGTTTCAAACCAGGCACCACAGCCATCCAACTGGGTCCAGTTCTGAATAGCATTGGCAGGATATTAAGGATAGACTTGAAGAATGAAATGACCTTGAGGGCACCAATCTGTGAGGGAAGTTAGGAATCTCTTCTTTCCCCAGAACCAAAATTACTGGACAATCTTTTTCATAGCTTCTCCATTGTGTTCAGGCTGGTTTATGTCACTCCCCTATGTTGTTATTTGTACAGCCAAGAAAGTGTCTCTTATCTCCTCTTCACTATCAAGGCAGGGGAATAGTAGGTCTTATCATACTGTGGCTGACTCTGAAGGGCTCCAAGGCCAGGGTTTCTGAGGGGGAAATGACCTTTAACATCTGCAGCATTTTTCTCCATCTTTTAAATGCTTAAACATATTTCAGAATCATCTCATGACCCTTGTGCGCCTCTTTGTGAAGTCCTATTTAGCAATTTCAGGGGAGACTTCCTTTTCCATTCACCCAAGACTCTGAAAATAGACAGAATGACTTCAGTGTTTACAAATACAGAATTTTGATAGAGATAGAAATGAAGAAAAACCTGTGTCTTGAGTCTCTGCTATCTATATCCTCCAGGTTTATTCTGTTCAGTGAACATCCAGTGCTGGATGAAGTTTCATCACCCTCTCATGTGTTTACATGTCTCTTCCTATGATAAGAGGGTTGTGTTGGTGGCATCTCCACTATTCTTTTTTAAAAAATATATATTTTATGATTTTTTTTTTCTTTAGAGAGGGAGAAGGATAGAGAAATAGAAACATGGATGAGAGAGAAACATCATTGATCAGCTGCCTTTTGTGGGCAGGGTATTGAGCCCACAACCCGGGCATGTGCCCTGACCGGGAATTGAACTGGTGGCCTCTTGGTTCCTGGCTTAATCCTCAACCGCTGAGCTGCACCAGCCGGGCTCCACTGTCCTTTTGTTTGTTGAATAGCACAACATCTTTGATCAGTGGGTGTCTCTTGGATAAAAGAGGTTCAATTGTGTTCCAAGTTATATTCTAGAGAAGTGTTTACAGTAAGTTCTCGGTTAACGATGTCGATAGGTCCTGCGACTTTAAGCCAAACCACTTATAACAAAACCAGTTTGACCATAGGCTAATTGATATAAACAAGAACTAAGTTCCTACAGTGTCTCATCAATAGCATAAAAAAATGTTATTAAAGGACCTGCTGTACATCCTTGCAGCTCCATCTAATTGCTGCATTATGACCTAAACTTGAGGGGTTAGAGTTTTTAATCTGATTTGTAGAGCAGAGAGGTTGAAAACATAACTCTTGTTCAGTACCCACATTGCCTTGCTGCCTGCGTATCTGGCCTGTTTCCATAAGCTTTGTTTCAACCCATCTAGCTCTTCAATAGAAGAGCAGCTATTACATGTATCACCACTTAAGAAGGAAGCTGGAGAGTCACCACTTTAGTTATGATAGGTTTTGCCCAAATGATGGCTGTGATGCCCATTACTCAGGGTATCTCATAGCCACGTTGCTCTCTCACCACTTTCCTTTCCTTCTGCCCCACCGTTCCTTTTATAATGCTGTGAAGAGCGTTCCCTTTCCTAGATGATTGGGCGCTTATCTATTTTGTTTGTTCATAAATAGTTTTGAGGATGAAATGAGAAGATATTTCTTCCCTTAGTCCCTATTTGGATGTGTATACTCTGGCTGAAGGGAGGGAGTCCTTATGTTTATTTTCAAAATACATTTTCTCTCTTGGATTTCCTTCTTGACTCCTTTTAATTTTGGGTCCATTTCTTTTCATTGCCTCCCCTTCCAGGCAGCTCTATTCTTACAGAGCTGTGGCAGGGCATTTTTTAAATTGCATAGAAAACACTAAAAGGAAAGTCTATAGAATCACTAGTGATTATTGGGAACCTATTTTCTCAATCTTCCTCCATGTTGTGTTCTTTGTATTCTTAAGATGATAATATATTATGTATTTGAATTGCTGAAAAGTTGATAATGAAGTTTTAAGATATATGTATATAAAGCATATGCTGTATTGGTGCAATAATGGTAATTAAAATATGGAAAAAGGTGGTGTCTCTTTTATCTTTTAACTAGTGGCCCGGTGCACGAAATTTGTGCACATTAAAAGGGATTAATTAGAGGAAATATTTTAATATTGCTATTTGCCCTTTCTCTATAATAGAAATGTCAGAGATGAAAGAAAATTAGTAAAAAGTATATGAAAATCTTCCTCCTGTCAGAGTCTGGGGCACACCATGGGACCCAGAGTCAAGTCCCCGCCCACCCACGTGTGCCTCAAAATCACGCGAGACCCAGACCCGGCCACCCCCCACCCATTGGGCTAGATCCAGTCCCACACTTGTCAAGCCTCTGGGCGGGGGGCGCAGCCTCAGGTCCCCTGGCCTGGCACCAGGGTGGAGGGCATGGCCTGAGGTCCCCCAGCCCAGGCCGGGACAGGGGGTGTGCCTTGAGGTCCTGTGTCAAGCCCTGCCAGGCAGGGGGCGAAGCCTCAGGTCTCCTGGCCTAGCGCTGAGAGGGTTGCAGCCTCAGGTCGCCCGTTAAGTCCCACCAGGAGCGGGGCGCAACCTCAGTTCCCCTGTCAAGCCCCACCAGGTGGGGGGCGCGGCCTGAGGTCCGTCCAGCCTCATGGGGGTGGGAGGGGGCATAGCTTTAGATCCCTGCCGATTACTCATTAAGGCTCATTACAGGAACTTGGCCTTCGCTGTGGATGCAGCCATCTTGTGTTACAGAACCCCACCTCCGCTGTGGGTGCCACCATCTTTGTGGTGGAGTGATGGTCAATTTGCATATTCCCTCTTTATTATATAGGATTTGCCTATTTCATTGCCCTTTTTGTTTAATGCAATATGGATGGGGTAGTAGGTAATACAAGGACATTTTATAGCTATTATTCTTTTTCAAGAAATAGGGATTCTTAAGGGATTGAGGCTATACCTCTGCTCATGGTTCTAAACCATCCGTGGGCAAACTACGGCCTGCAGGCCGGATCCGGCCCATTTGAAATGAATAAAACTAAAAAAAAAAAAAGACCGTACCCTTTTATGTAATGATGTTTACTTTGAATTTATATTAGTTCACACAAACACTCCATCCATGCTTTTGTTCCGGCCCTCCGGTCCAGTTTAAGAACCCATTGTAGCCCTTGAGTCAAAAAGTTTGCCCACCCCTGGTCTAAACCCACAGAACACTCCTGATAGAGATTCATTATCTATTTGCTAGTACTGTTTATTTCATTTGCTTCTAGGCCACCTCAGAACTATAATCAACACAAATGAAAGGAATCAGTGTAAAAGATAGAACTAAAGTGAGTCATAGACTTTGGCAGCTAGAGAATCTTGAAGTTCTCATTCAGTGATTATTACAAGAGATGAATCACAATAATTCGGGTGCTTGCCTCTTTTTTTCTCTCTAAAGTAACAGAGTCTGTAAAGAATTGATCTCTAAGGGGTAGGGGTTTGATGGCTTCCCTACCATGGCCTTTCTTACTGAGGTTGTGAGGCCATTGATAGAACTGTATCCTAATCTTCAGATTCTGTTTGGGAGAAAATGTAGACAGTTTTTTAGCCCCACCCCCTCAGTTACACATTGACATCTGCCTTCATGGTTGAAATGTGAACCTTGATTGCTCCTCACTTCCTCCATCCTGATAACCTTCTAGGTAGTCACTTGCCTGTAGCTTTCTTAGCTTCGGTTCAGTATACATATGGTCACCAGAATAATCTTCCTAAAACCAAGCCCTGCTCATGTCGTTTCCTCCCGGCTCATTGCCTTTAATGATTTTCCTTTGCTCACAGAATAAAGTTCAAATACCATTTCATCCCCCACTCTCAGTTTTCCCTTTCACGCACAATACACTCCAATGAACCAGGATACTAGTCATTCTTCAAATGCCATCAGCACCGTGAGCTTGCTAAACATTCCCCCTGCCTAAAATACCTTTCCCTCTACACTTGCCTGTTGAAATACTTCCTATCCTTCTGCTCTGAAAGATGATCTCCCTTTTCTTTGAGTTGCTGTTGAAGTTCATTTCCTTATTAGTTTGTAAGGTCTGTGAGTATAAGGACTATGTATTCATTTTTACCTACTTACTGTACTTCCCATATGCCTTTCTAGATAGTAGCTGCTCATTAACTACTTATTGGATTAACAGTGATTTCAGTGAAGAGGGACTAGAAATCAGTAAGTTGGGTATTTTCCTTTTGCTCATTCTCGTGTGGGTTGTTCCTAGCTACATGACAAGCATTCCTCATATGCTTTGTCAAAGTTGCAGAAAATCTCATTTATTTGCCCCACAGTCCATTAATATTTGAGATCAGGGAAGCCGTGGAGAAGACAGATTTTACTTTGGCGCATAGACCCTACGGCCTGGGAAAAGGAAAATTGGTTACCATGTAGCATGGCTGCTGATAAATTTGGTAGCTTACTGTCTCCTTTTAATGATCACAACTGGCTAAAGATTGCATTGTACTTTATGTTCTGGTTATTTTCTAACTTCTAAAAAAGTCATTTCTGTCATTGCCTCTTAAGTGTACTGGTACATGAAAATAACATGGCTTGTGACTATAGAACTCAAACTCAAGTATTCTCCATCAATCACATATTTTATAATGAGAAAGAAAGGAAAAAGGGTTACCTTTATTTGCACAGAGTTACCTTAACCCTGGGGGATGTATGGCTTGTTATGATTTTCACAGAAATTTTTAAAATGAATTTAGCCTTAAATAGTCGGAAGTGTTTTTTAAAAAATGTTTTTATTCTTTCTCTCTCTCTCTCTCTCTCTCTCTCTCTCTCTCTCTCCTTCCCTCCCT